GGTAAGCCTTGAATCCAGCATAACTGATGTCCTTACATGAAGATTGCTGTGTGAAAACAGAGACATGGAGAATGGGAAGATAGAGGTGGAGATTGGAATGAAGGGTCTACAAGCCAAGGAAAGCCAGCCATTACCAAAACTCTTCAGAAACTTATGGGACAGATTCGCCCTCAGAGCTCCCAGAAGGAACCAGCTCTGCTGACTCCTTGACTTTGGGCTTCTAACCTCCAGTATTATGAGACACACATTTCTCTTGTGTTCAACCATAGCACAATGATGGTACTGGGTTATGGTAGCCCTGGGAAACTAATACAGGTGCTAAATTACTAGAAGGGAGGTCTAGCAGAGTAGAAAAGTAAGGAATCATCCTTTTTCAATACAGACCTTAGAACCAACAAGAGCACTTATGTAAACATAATTTTATTTTATTTCATTCCCACAGTAAGCTTGTGGTATAAGTAAAGCTTTTCTCCATCTGGGAAAGTGTGGCTTAGAAGTTATCAGTATCTCAGCTGAGAAATACCTTAACATGCCTCCCCTCTTTCTTACCTCACAGCAGCTTTAAGCCACTTAGTGCCTCTTCCTGATACTTTTAAACTTTTCTTAGAGGTTAGGTGTTCTGATTCCCCTGCTTCTGAGCACTTATTGTTCTTCTGGCATCATATGGCATGTGGCTGTCCCCTAGTCACTTTTTCCCTGCTTGGCCCATATCTCTCCTTGCTGAGGCCTTACTGAGCCCCCCCCCCCCCCAAATTGACTTTTTTCTGTTTCCCAGTGGGGTCTCTTATTTGAGTTTCTTAGATGTGGCAAGAACTGAGAACTTCCCCTGGGGCAGGAACAATTGTCTCTGCCCAGCCAAATCCTCTGAAGGATTTGGGGGTCATCGTGGGTAATGCCAGTTTCTGTGGCTATGCGCACTCATCATCAGCAACTTCGCCATCATAGGCATGGGTGAATGTGAACAGATCAGAGCGAATCAAAGACTTCCTGTGGCCTGTGGCAGCACATTCAGCCTGACATGCTTCACTCATAAGATGCTTAGTGACAGAGCTGTACCTTTCTCATGTTTCATGATGTGAAATATCTGTCTTCATCACATAGTAACAAAAGTAATGAATCACTTCATAATAAAATGTCTGCTATGGTGCTAAGGAAACCTTGGAATGAATGATTTCAGACCCTGAATGACATATTCTCACGAGGAGAAACTATTAACCATTTATTATCTTGCCAATTTGATGTCCTGAATGTTTTAACCTAAGTTTTAAGTACTATTGTTTGGCCGTTGACCAGACCCTTGTCTTTGAAAAATATACTCTTGAGAGACTCACTGAGACACACATTTACTAGAGCTTGGCCTGGGAGATAGTTCAGTATGAAACAATTTTGTTTCTCTGGCTTCCTTTTAGTTTAAGAAATTTAGGGACTAGAATGGACCTCAGAAGGCATTTGATTCCAAAGTGAGGAAAAAATTTTCCTTGTAGGAGAGTCAGTTAAAGAAAAATAAGAGATTCATGGGCACAATTCATTTTCCATTCAAAATAAAATCCTATGGAAGGATAATATGTGTATGAAAATCATAACCACCTGCTTTACTATATAAAGAAATGTTGATGAGAAACTTTGGGCAGAGTTGAGAGGTAGCTCAAAGTTGCTATAAAATCAGTATGTCTGCTCACTGTGAATTAACAAACAAATATGCAATTCGAATTATTTACTGCCTTAATAGGATGATGCCAGCATAATTATCCTATAAATACTTACAAGAATTTTGACGCCCTTCCCTATGGATTATTAATGTGGCCTAACATTTAACAAGTATTGATGAGTGGGTTTTGCTCTAACTGGCAGGCCAAGAAGGCCCTGTGCACATAGCTACTCAGCCTGTGTTTTCAACATGCATATCTCTAGGCTGACCTTTTCTGTAGGATACTTGTTACCTTTTTTCTTGCTTTTGGGATTTAATTTTTTTTGAATATTACTCTGAAATATACATATCTATGTTTATATGACTGAACCTTTGAAGACATGCAGTATCTATTCAGGTACTTTAATGAGTTAATAATGACCTTTGCTTGTCTAACTACTCTATTTGCCTTCCAGTGCATTTGTTGCCCATCAGTGAATTAGAGGGAGTAGTTATTTAAAGAAAATAAAACGTGTCGAATTTTTGTTTATTGGATTAAATATGTCAATGAGAAATATTTGAAGTGATAGTTGAAATGTTTGAATGTCATTTTGGTTTTCCAGTTAGTCAGCAACCTGTAAGTACTGCTGTAAGTACAATTCAATACCTCCCCACCCCTGCTTACTCTCCATTATGTCTGTCAACTACAATTCTAAGAATTGACGTTCAGTGCAATGCACCACAATAAACTACTGCAGGGTTATTAAAAAACAAAAGGCTATAGAGCCCCTGCCTTTTGGGAGCAGCTTGAGAAAGTAGAGAAGGTAGAGAAGAGAGAGCACAGATCTTTGAGATAGACATACGACTTAGGCATCAAGAGATGGGACTGTTGGAGAAATCAATGTAGAAATGAATGTTGAAAGCAGGTAATCTTTGTCTTAATTTCAATTTTATTGAAATCTGGGTAGGTGAGAATGACTCAGCAGATAGAGGCACTTGCCCCAAAGTCTGACTATCTGACTTCAATCCCTGGAGCTTACATGGTGGAAGGACAGAACTGACTTCTGCAAGTTGCTTCCATGTGTATGCCTATGGCATGCACACCCCGCCCCTGACAAAATAAATAGATATGTATTTTTCTGAAATCCAAGCTATTTTTTTGTATCTACTATTTTTATTTTTATGTGTATGAGTGTATTCCTTGCATGCACGTGTGTTGTACAATGCCCCTGGAGGTCAGAAGAAGGCATTGGATCCCCTGGAACTGGAGTTACAGATGGTTGCTAGCTGCCATGTGGGTGCTGGGAATTGAACCTGGGTCTTCTGCAAGAGCAGTCAGTGCTCCTAACCACTGACCCATCTCTCCAGTCCCAAATCCAAGCTATTTTTAAAAGTTTTATTACATTTGTTACCATCTTCCTGGAATTAATTCTCTTATATCCTGGAATGTGGTGCATTTTGCTAAACAAGGCCATCTGAGTTCAACCTGAAATCATCTTGACAGATCAGAAGAATGATTTCTGATTTCTATTTGTTACACAGAGACAGGGGAAACAACTCTCCCCTTGCTCCTAGAATGGTAAGTTCGCTAATATACAAATTGTAATTATGTGAGGGCATGCTACATTCATTGTTCTTAACTCAGAAAAGTTCATTTATCCAGACAGTAGTTTTTAAACATTAAAAATCATTTCCCACCAGGTGCGGTGGCGCACGCCTTTAATCCCAGCACTTGGGAGGCAGAGGCAGGCAGATCCCTATGAATTCAAGGCGGGCCTGGTCTACATAGTGAATTCCAGGCCAGCTGGGGCTACAGGGAGACCCTGTCTCAAAAAGACCAAAATAATAATAATAATAATAATAATAATAATAATAATAATTTCCCATGTTTTGTTCCTTTTTTCTAAATTCTAGATTTGTTGTCGTAGAAGCCATTACTGGTTGTACGAAACATAATAAGGAGTGGAGTACTAGGTTACTAGAAATAATCACATTTAATTGGCAGAGGAACAGGGAATGTTTTAACTGGAAATTAAAAGG